CTCTCTGTAAAACTCTTTTTCCAGTATATCGGTAAACCCCCTTCCATATTTACATTTATTTATACGATGTACCTCTTAACATTGCTAAATATGCATAACATTGATTATGTATATGAAATGTTTCTGTCATCACACCATATAAACTTGATTATTGGTCTTGTGTGACACACTGTACAGTCAATGTCAAATGGCATTGTTTGTTTGCACAAAATTTGAAGTGTAGTGATTTCATGTACTATACATTTTGTATCTGCTTTTGTTTTAGGGTAACACACCATCTGATACCTTAATAAAATGGAAAGAGATGTACCAGGCTGATATAGATGCAGAAACCCAAAATGAATGCAGGGAAATCATGTCGTTATTAAAAAACCCACCGCGTAAAGGTATGTCATTTGTCAGTTGAAAGTGAGTTACAGTGTGCCCTGTAAGCTGATGAGATGTGCCACTGATGCAGAAACATTTGCTGTGATGCAATTAGTTGTACTAATTCACTGGCGTTTCATTGATGTAACAGAGAATCATACATTGTTATTATAATAGTGATCTTGAAAACTATTTACTAGAGTTATGGAATTTTTATGGAATTGATAAAATGAAATCCACATTTTATAAACAAAATAAATAAATAAATAAATAAATAAAAAGGTAATCAGATGGCACAACATTTTTGTTACCTATCCAGTCACATACAGTTTTATTTATTTTTTCTGGAAGGCTGACCTCCTAGCAGTCATCAAGCCGAATTAGCTTGATTTTGGGGGATTCCATTTTTCCTGTTAGAGGGAGTACTTATCAGTTACATTCTAAATTGTTTGTCAAAGGGGTGAGATTCTCCAGTACTCTAAAAATATAATTGGTTGGAAAGTAAATGTACACATACATGTTTAATAGTATTATGGGTTGTGTTGGGATCTCTTTCATGATAAAGGTACATTTGGGACCAATACACATACATGTTTAATATTATTATGGGTTGTGTTGGGATCTCTTTAATGATAAAGGTACATTTGGGATCAATACATATACATGTTTAATAGTATTATGGGTTGTGTTTGGGATCTCTTTCATGATAAAAGGTACATTTGGGATCAATACATACACATGTTTAATAGTATTATGGGTTGTGTTTGGGATCTCTTTCATGATACAGGTTCATTGAGGCTCACTACATGTTTAATAGTATATATAGTAATGTTTTATGCTATTTACACAGGAAGTAGACATAAATGTATATTGTGTCTTGTGTTAACAGGAAATACAGATAAATTTGTGAAGAATAGAAGTCTTGAAAATCTTGAATTATATGATAATGGACAAAATAATAGTGTGCCATCACCAAAGTCTTCAAGACAAGTTCATGAGAGCTGTAACATTGAACAGAGGAAAACTCCTTCTAATAGGGACAGGGAAGTTATAGTTGCCAGGCGACGTAATGTGATTGATCTTGATGATGAAGACAGTGGGGATGATGAATCAAGTGTTTTATTTGATGATGCTAGTCAGAATGACGTAACAATGGTGTCTCCACGGTCACCAACACCACCGCCACCTTTTGGAGATGAAACTCCTCAGTTAGACTCCATGGAAACCGGTGATGAAGATTGGAATCAAAATGAATTTGATGATATGTATGATAACCCTTTATTAGCTGATCTAGAAGACTTTACTGAATCGAGTAGTGCGACAGATGTCTATCAAGATGCAATAAACAAACTGGGCAGTGCTATTAATAGAACGTCATCACAGAGACCGCAACAGAGAACAAGCACCCAGCAAACTCCAGCTTTGGTTCCTGAGGAAAACTACATAGCAGATGACTGGTTAATTGATGACGTCGCACATCGGCCTGCAAAGAGAAAACGATTTGGTATTGAGTCAGCTTTCAAAACTCTTGGCTCGTCGCAAGATAGGACTACATCGGGTAACAGACCTAAAAATTCACTGACAGTTGGAAACCGTTTATCAGTAAAACACAAAGCAAAGCGTTCTAAACAAATGAAATTAACCAACATGGCTGTAAGTACAACAAGGCGTGCACACAATGACGTTTCACCTTCACCAAGTGATGATAATGATGATGTCATCATTGAAAGCCAATCAAATGACAGATTGCCTGAAATGCCACACACTGTGAGTAATAACACCGTGACTAATCCTGTAGGTGCACCAATGAGAGTCAGGGTTAAAGTTCAAGATAAAACTTTCCTTATACCAGTACCCTCAAGGTAAGAACTCAACATTTTGTATCTTTCAACTGTGTTTGTGTTTCCAACTGTTATCTGACAATTAAGACCACTCACAAGTATTCAACCTACTAAATCAGGCACAACACAATCTAATCTCTCTCCGAACAATTGACAATTTTCGATAAATTTTCATAGAATCCATAAAAATTTCAGAAAAAAATAAATATTGTTTGTCAGGAATTCTTTGTATTAATGACAACCAGTTTTATATATATCATATCTTGGTCACCTTATTTATAAATATAAATAGACAAAAATAGATTTAAATAAAATATGAAAATTTAAAATTAAAATATTACATATTACTGTAAAATCTGTATTAGAAACCACAGCTTCTTTTAAAATGGTACAATGCAACAGAGGGGAAACGGATTCTATTAGAGCATCTACACATATGAGAAATTATGAATATCTGGTTGTCAATTGTTCAAAAAGAATGGGTGCGACTTCTATTAGGGATACGGCTTCTAATACAGATTTTACAGTAGTATACATAAAACACCTCACCTCATTTCGGTACGAGGCTAACGCTAGTGTCAAATATGAATTCATAAATATTTCTGTGTTGTTTTTCAGAGATAAAGCAATAAGTTGGTTAACGGAACAGTCTGCTCAGAGATATTATAATTCTACCGGATTGAGACCTAATTTGGTTTTAGTCACTGCAGAAGGTGCTTTGTTTTCACCCGAAGACACTGTAATGGATGTAGTTTCTTTAAATGAAGAGGTAAAAATACAATGTACTTGCATACTGCGCTATGTGAATCTCACTACGAGCTATGCATCAATACACCATAGAATTTTACTGATGGATATCTTTACTGTTTCTACTTAGGGCAGGAAAAAACACATTTTTCTCTTATTTTTAGTATTCGAAAATGAGGCAATGGCATTTTTTGGGGGGAGAAATGATGGATGCAACTAACTAACTAAAAACACTGAAATGTTGATTAAAATGAGAGGTATTTTCAGCGTGGAATTTGCTCAACTCATCGCCAATGTTGATGACTCAGAAAATGGCAAGTTTGTATTTTGACCTAAAAAATGTTCCAGACACAGGCAACCAAAAATAAGGAATACCGATAGTATTATTAGATTATATATTATTTGGCAAATTTATTGTGATAAATCTGGACAACTAAATTATCACATCAAAGGTGTTCATCTATAATTCAGTCATTTCCTTTTCATTACCAGATTTTTTGGCCAAATTTTTCTGCATTTTTTTCATTATCTTCTTCAATATTTCTGGAAATGAACCCTAATTTTTGAAGCCAACAGACAAAATTCGGGTCAATTTCCAATTTCCAGAAAATTTGTTTATTTTGTCTCAATCTTCTGAAAGAAAGTGCAGACTATATACAGGACTATTTTGTGAATTTGTGATGAAAACTGGGAACTGGTGGTGATTAACAGAATCATAAAATATCCAAAAATGGCCACCTGTCAGTCATGCTGAAAAAATACATTATCATGTACAGAATGTGCAAGGTTATATATAATGTTTCAAGTTATATCAGGAACAGGAACATTTCATATGTTATTATATTATATTTAATTCATCGTTTTTCTAGATAGTTGCTAATATACAGTCATGGGATTTACAGCCATTACCAGATAGATATACAAAGGCATGTGAAGCTGTCAACAAAGGTAAGCATCACTGGGTATCAGTGTTATGACTCCATGTTTCAAGCGATCCTGTCACTATGACAACCATTAGCTTTACACAGCCAAGACACCATTTTGTTTCACCAAGCAGTCAAATACGGCCAACTGAAAAAAACAAAAAACAGTGTCCATTTTTATAAGAATATGCATTCACCAGTTAGTTTAAAACTTTGTATATTATATGGTCAAACATTAGAAGTCACATTCATACTTCCTTGTTGTTAACGGTACAAAATGAAAACTTTGTCTTTGTGTCTGTTTATAAAAAAAAATGAAAACCAAACATTGAATTCAGATAATATAAAGTAAATAAATAAATACTATGAAACTATTTGAAGATGAGATCAGTTTTGGTACAACTCAAAGCATATTTTATTGAGTTATAAATTAGTTGAATTAAAATTATATATACCATATTTATTAATCAGTTTGGCCCCCTGTTGATATTTAGTATTTTAGAACAGTCGCGCTATAGAATACAAAAAACTGGCCATATTGAATTAGGCAGCATTTTTTCTGAAATCGGTGAAATTCAACAACTGGAAAAAATTAATCGCCACCTTAAGTTTCAACACAAAATTAGAATCAGAATTATTTTTTCCTCATTTTACGCTGTCTAGTAACAATGAATTGTTTTTAAATAATAAAAAAAAACACTGCAAATTCACCTGGAATCAAGATTCTTCATCAGTTGAAACTTAATCTCTACAATCAGCCTCCCGTAATTGATTGTAAATGTGTATTTTCTATCGCAATGTTGTGCAAACTTGTACTGTAATACTACATAATTCAGACTATTATTCAGAATATCATCCAAACAGAACACATTTTTTTTCAATTACTTCTGTTTTCTTTAGTTTTTACACTTATTATTATATTACACCTTGCCTGTATCATCAAAGATGGAAGGGAAATGTATATTAAGGGGAAAATGTCTGTCGTCGTTGTTGTTCATCGTTAATAATTGTTATGAAAACCAGCTCAGATTTTCTGTTATCTTGCATGTAATAATATAAGGTTATTTCAAGAATACCTCAAAGTATGCACGAAGACAGTACAGCTGGAATATCGACCGACACGCAGCATACTGTTTGAGTGCATACTTTGAGGATTTACGTAATAACCTTATTATTATACATCTTTTTTCATCTGGCAGCCACGTTTGTTTTTATTATTAGAGGACGCTTACATGCGTAATCATTCCATATTTGGAATTCACATTTGCTAATATGGTAGGATAAAAATACCCCTTAAAATACCACAAAATTACGGCACGCTGTAACTTATGGCCTTACAGTGACAGATGTATAATAATTATATAACATGCAAATAATATTATATAACAAAGGGCAAGGTTTCCAGAGTTCAACTATGTTTTTGTTTATGAAACATGAATTTCATTTTAGCCAATTCCATAACTATTGTGAGATGTTTTCAAGACCACTGTATCAATTTACGACTTAAAGTGCACACTGATTGTCACAACAAGTAAATTAAATGTCAAGAACAAACAAAAAGTTTATATATTCACAAATAATTACAGTATTACATTATGACTGAGTGAACAGTACAGTAATACTTGACAAGATTCTACTGTTCTCCACAGCTGAACACAAGCAAATCCAAGACATTCTGAGCTCCCAGCACATTAGTCCACAGTTGAATTTCAAGGATCTTTCACTGACAACGGAACAAGTTATACCTCTCTTCAGATCACTCCAAAGACAGTACTCTATCAAGCAGCTCTTGTTTCCTGGCAACAACATCACTGATGCTGCTCTAGATAGCTTTGTTAGAGCTATTGTTACTGTGCCTAACCTGAGTGTATTGGACTTATCATGTAATGCAATTACCCATAAAGGATTGCAAATTATAGCAGATAGTCTGGAATCAAGTGGTAATGTTGCTACTGGGGATAATAAACCGTTTCAGGTAATATTACTTACATCTCACAACTCAAGCCATTATTACATGTATTCTGAGGGGGGGGGAGCTACATCACATACCGATAACATTCTCCATGCACTACTGTACTAGGTATTTCTATAGGCTCTGCTCGAGCTGCTGTGGAGCGCCGGTCGAAAATCAAGTCGCCCCGAGAACAGCCAATACGTTTTTCCAGTAACGTCTTATTTCTGTGTGACGAAAACAAATGGCTGGGACACCGTTCGCAGTATGCATATTGTTCTGATCTGTGGTCGTTTGTCAATAATAATAAAAACTAAAATGTATTTTATAGATTTACTTGGATGACAAACAACCATACAACACAGTGTGCATTTCACCTATCTAAAACATTTTGATCTCACAGAATCACTTCGTCACTGTGTATTGACATCAAATCTCACTAAGATATTATACTTGATGTGTTAACCAACTCCATTTTCATCACAGGGATCTCTCTCTGGTGGTTGGCCCTTGTTGTTATCTGTCAGATTGCTGTCAGATTAAAACACTGTGTCTGTCTTTGATGTCATTGAATTTCAGATGTTAGAAGTACTTGATTTGAGTTATAACCACCTGTCAGATTGTTGTACACAGCCATTATCCTCCATTATAAAACACTGCCCATCTTTGATGTCATTGAATCTCACATCATGTGATCTCACAGTCAAGTTCTTTCAACTTTACAGAAGAAATTTACAAGACGCCCTGAAAGGTGAGATACTTGTAATGTTTTGAAGTGCCATGTGTACTCCACTACTACCTTAATTGCAAAATCACTTTGACATAATTTCTCATAGGCTACCTATTTTTGTTTAAAATTTGTGAAAAAATATGGCAAAAATGTTTTGTTTTGTTAAAGGTGACAAAAGTTGACTGTTATTATGGGATATCATCCTACAAAATAAAAATACCCAGATATATGATGGTCACTGCCATATTCTTTCATACACAGTAGCCTTGACAGCTCACTGGGTGACTGGTTTGCTACATGATTGGAACAAGTTCAATCAAATCATTTCACAAGGGTGCATTGTTCAGATTGTTGAGCAGTAAGACAATCACCTAACATTTTAATTTAAAACTATGCCTAATTGCTATTAAATTAGTTCAATAACGTACCACCTTTTTTTTCTTTCCTTACAACACTGTCTATGTCAAAACATAGCATTTTAAACTTAAGTCAGTGTAAATGAAACCCTTTTCATTGCGATAGCTCATTGAATGTGATAGGCCTAGCCAGCCCATGGACCCCACCTGAGGCTCAAATGCACTTGGTGTATGTAGCAAAGTAAATTTGTTTTATAATTTATTATCCTCCATATTTTAATTCTTCTCACCTTTATTGCAGGTGCAGCTCACTTGCAAAGTATATCAGTATCCCACAATGCACTAGGACCAACTGGGATAGAATTATTGTTAAAAAGCATATCATGTGACGTGGTCACATCATTGGATTTATCATCAACCATGATATG